TGTCCAAACACACCTTCCTCTGGGGGGAGAGAAAAATCATTCATTATTTAAATGGGTGTCAAATATGTTTCCCAAATCTCCTAAAAGGTTATCGTTGTTACACGCCGACAAGTGCTTATATGTGAATCAATGTAAACTCTGTTACTAGGGAAATTTACAGCCTCTCCCCAGCCGTCCACCGTGCACAAACCTAATCGTGTTTTCATAGTGTGATTTATACAGCCCAGGTGAATGACTGCACTTTGATAGAGACGCAAAGAAATGACAAATGAGTGAGTGGTGACGAGGTATAAGGTCGAGTTTTCATTTGGAGGTCACACAAACGCATTATGTAGGAATATAATGGGTCTTGTTCAAACTTTTCAAGAACAGAAGCCTTAATGGTGTTGTCAAATTGCAACATATTCAGTCTGGACAGTTGATATTGTGCTGGTTTTTTAAAGAGAATGAGAGGTTAATTAAAAGAAAGGAAACAAGGAAATATATATATGTAAGTAGGAATAATAGCAGTGACTTGAAGCGTTTTGGGGAGTTTCTGATGACTAATATTTCCCCAAATTACTCCCTTTTTTAAAAACTTGTTCTTGGCTCAAAACAATTGGTTCGACCAAAACAGTTCAGTTCAGTTGGATGTGAGCAGTTCTCACATCCATGTGTTTTGGGCTTTCGATCAGATTCAGACAGAAACGTGACAAAGAGAGGACCACCCTCCTTCAGCCAATCAGCTCTCAGCCCAACATTTGACTCTGTTGCACAAAAAGTTAGGTACGGCAGATTAAAATACAAAAAAGTCAGCGATTTGTGTTTGTGTTGATTGAAAAAGGGTCAAGAGCTACATTTATGAAGCGTAAATAGGCAAAGTGACTAAAAATACAGGAAAGTGTATCTGTTAGGAGAAAAAAAATTACAAATGATGTACTTATTTGTTATTTTTTTGGTAAATATTCACTAAAGATGATTATATCAATGAGTGGCTTTGTAAAGCAAGTTCATTCAGTCAAGTGATCTGTCTCAAGTAATCAAATGAACACTACCTATTGAATTTGGGAAAAGTATATATTTTCAAAGCGGTTATAAAAAGAGACAAAGCCATGCGAGAGAAAGAACAATGCTGTTACTGGAGTGCTAAAGCGTCACTATTTGTCTTGGGCAAGTTAGCTTATCTAATAAAGTGTCTTGGTATTAAGATGGATACTTCAAACGCTCTTTTGTCTCTATAATCACAGAGGAGGGAGGCAGAACTCACACATTCTTCGCTCAATTTATTATTAATAAGTACATCAGTGGGAGAAAGATATCCCGGGGACCGAAACACCCGCCGAGCACAACATTCATCAAACGTAAACGAATATCAGCATACACAGGATACAGCGGCTCCAATAACAGATAATTGATGAGAAAGGTCTTTGGGAGCACTGGATCACTGTTGACGGTTATCATTATCTAACATCGTTTCGTACTTTACAGCCGATGATGAACTGTTTGTTGAACGGGCTACATTTTCAGCCGCCTTCTGTGTGCAATTAACTCTAGTGTTCGGAGGCAGCAAGGTCATTCTGGGCCCGCATGATTAAACTGTGGTTTTTGCATAACTATGTACACTCGGCATTCTGTGGTTGGAAAGGACTGCAGCAAATGCCAGGTTTAAACTTTACATTTTCAACTCTATCCCATTTGTGTATCAGTTTCCACAAAAAACTTGCATATACTTGAAAATAAATGCATTTTAAAAGTGTAGATCTGAAAACACGTTTTCAGATCTACACTGAAATGGTCTATGCATCCATTTTAAATATATTCAATTACAGATGTTTTACTGTAAAAAATATCTTTTATGTTTAGTATAATTTATCCACAAAGCTGAAACAAAAGCGAATGAAAATAACCAGATGGATTTCTTTGTTTTAATAATGCATTTTATTGACCACCCGGGCGTGTACTAAATTAAGAACTTACTTACACAACTATCTATAAAGCGTCTGTGTGTCTGTCTGTAGCTCAAAATCTCTTCAGGTTTTTGTGATTCATTTTAAAAACTTGTAATCAACGCTACTGAAGGTCCCACTATAGGGATATATACTTCCAACAGGCAATTCCTGCAAATTCTCCGCAAAACGTGATGATAGCAGCGGCGATTGTTTAAATCTTAAAAGCTCTGGCCCCTGCAACTGGCTCCGCGCCTTACATGAAGTTTGTGACTTTGCTAAGGATGACAGCAGCTGTAGCTAGATGCATTTAAGTTACAGGTCTTTTTGGTTTCATAAACACGGGCGTCTATCAGGAGCAGTACAGCGCCCAGGAACCCATCTCCAGATGCTGATGCTCGGCTTATTCAGAACTTCCACAGTTGGAGGATTTACGTATTGTTTACGTTTTTAGTGGTATAGGGAAGACCAGAGCACTCGGAGGAAACCGGAGCAGGCACGGGGAGAACATGCAAACTCCACTCAGAAAGAACCTGTATCAACCGGGTTTTGAACCCAGGACCTTCTTGCTGAGAAGCGAGAGTGCTATCCACTCAGCCACTATGCAGCATTTCCATTATCATGGCATTTCCATTATTAAAAATACAGCTGTAATACCAAAATCCACGATCATTTTAGTCACAATATATCAGTCTATGGACCTGTGTATCTTCTACCACAAGCGAGTGGGATGGTCCAGGAAAGATTTAAACTACAAAGATTACATATGCAAAAATCACAGTCAAATATTTATCTCCAAAACTCATGATATTGTATCTATATTGAAAAAACCCTTTCCTTTGGTACATAGTTCAGAGTATCCTTAGATTCTTCTGCTCGTGCCTGATCTCTCTTCATATATATTCTATGACCAGTATGTTGTTTGCGGCTCAGTGACAGGAGAAAGGCAGTATTCCAGATGACAGATGGCCGCAGCAGAACCAGTGTCATTACTGGCCACTCGTCGCCCGCCGTACAACCTGTGCTCCAGTGTTGGGTTTCCTTCAGCCCCATCAGCCCTGACACATGCAGCTTCTAGAGCCGCGTCCGAGGGCAGGAATTCAATCAATACAAGTCTCCTCGTGACAAGATACACCATGTTACAGCAGAGACGCACGCAGAGGCAGTGCCATCTGTCCCCTTCTGCGCTGCACTCCCCTGTCACATGTCAATCTGCACCACTAATGTCCAATATATTAAGTTATCATTCATATAGTTTACTCCACCTTTCGCTGCTTTTATGTAATGAAGCGATAACTCAATTGGCTTGAGTCTGCCATCCCCAGTGAGTGAACTCGGATCGTCTCACATCTGTCTCTCCTCCCCAAAGGGACCAGTGCATCTCTCTGAAATCAGGACCTCATGGCAGGTAATAAAGCATCACAAAGCATTTTATTAACGAGATGTAAACATGGATTAATACAATCCGGCGTCATCTCCAGATAGTACCATTTATGTTCCGAGTTACAACTGCTTTTATATTAAATACTGGTGTGCATGATGCTAATGATGTCTTTATGTTCTGTCCACTGTGTTTTTTATCTTAGCACCTTTAAAAATGTAAGGTGCAATTGAAATGAAATGTACTGATAATACTAAAAAACGTAAAAAGAAATGAACATTGGAGCAACATTGGAGCAAACAGATTTAAGAACATGACCAATTGAACTAAAACACTAAATGTGCACATGCAATATACATTTCTGTTGATTGTTCAAACTTTTCTAGAACTAATGGGTGTAGTCTCATTGCAACACTACAGTCTGGACAGTTGATGATGTGCTGTAACAAAAAAAAAAGGCCAAGCAGTTAAAATATAAGAAAAAATGTGTACGAAATATAGGTGCTTTGTGTAATTTTAGCGCACCCCTGGTCAACTCACTTCTTTTGAAACCGATCAGTCATGAGCTCTTCTCTCAGAGTGTCATTTGAAAATGGCAAAAGATACTTCATAACAAAGACACCAACATTAAAACGCGAGAATGGATAAAATTACGTTATGTGTACATTTGAGTCTATATGTCAAACTAATATGAATCTTTAAAAATATCTTATCTAAGAAATATTTCAGTATAACTCCTCGAACAGAACGTGTAGTAACAAAATATCACATTGATATTGTTATTTTAGTATTATAATGGACAGCAGGGTTTAATACGATCATCATGTACTTTGAGGTAATATTTCAAAACTCAGCCAAGCACTTTTGATTTTCAATGTCCCTGAAATCCCATTAGCGTTTTATTGTGGCAGGTGGAGATTTTAGAAAAGAAAAGACAAAATCCACAATTGGATTTGGTAATTTGACCTGGAGGGCTCATGAGGACACTTTCCCTGCGGAGGCCCCACATAATCAGTGAAGCCTTTGAGCTGAATACAGTCATCCTTTGGTGGAGTGCCTGAAATTAACTGCTTAAAGGATTTGTTCAAGTGACAAATACAAGGTGCTAGGACTGAGTCTTGGACCAGCTTGTATTTTGTGGTGGGAGAGAAGAAAACAGATTGTATTATAGTGGATTTGTATCTGTTGTCGCCCACATGAAGTACAATGTCTTACCTTTGAACACACAACTGATCATTCAGGCTAAAATGAACTATTGTTTTTGTGGACAATGTTCTTTTCCTCTGATGAAAATATGAATACTTCTCCATCTGTTTGGCATTAGCGTTCAAAAACCGCACGGCGTTTGCAAAGCCGCAGCTACAGTACGTGAGTAATCAACTGTTTAATTGAAGAATAATAAAATGTAAACTAGAAACATTATAAAGCAATAGTGAACGAGCTTTGCCAACAACAACATTAACGTTTGACTCTCTCTGTGTCAAAAAGAGATTTCGACCTTTGAAGAACGCAAGTGTTGATTTCAAAGATGGCTTTTAGGAAACCACAAAAGGATCACCTCTGACTCTTAAACAAACAAACATGAGACACATTTAAATAGTACGAGCTGGAAGAGTGGCAAAGCTCAATTCTTTTGGTGTGCGTCGATGCTTCTATTATGTGCGGTTTGATTAAAGCTTGACGCCTGATGTCCAATGCGGTTTCCAGGGGAGAGCGGTGACAACTGTCTACCTGCTGCCTCCACTTTTCGTGTGTTGGGTGATTTACGGTCGACTCCCCAGCGTTTATGCACTGCCTTATTTTCATTTCTACCCCGCTGAGTGCCAGGTTCAAAACTCCAGAAGAAATATTATGCTTTACTGACAAAATACAGTGACAGCCAACCGCCTCCCCTCGCTCCCGCTCCCTCCCAGCCTTAAAAGCAGCGACATAGTGTGTAAGAGTACGCGGAGACAAGGCGAGGTTGAAGGAAATCTTGGCCTATTGAAACCTTGCATTTGATCTGAACCAGCTCTGGTTGGTCGCAAAGATGTTTATAGCGTAGTTCGAATCTACTTTCAATTAAAAAAATGACACGCGGGGTGGAAAGGCGAGGCCTGTAAAACAGACGGTAAAATTTATTGAACAACTTTTACTAGGGGTGCGTTTGAGCACATGTGGCGCACAAATGAAATGTTTGCTACGACAGACAGACAGAGCAGGTAACTTGACGCCGAGGGACTTTTTCATTAACCCCGAGTTCAAACCCCCGCTGCTGTTCAAGGCTGTTTTTATTATTATTATATTTCTAACAGGGAAGCAACAATGTGATGTAAATGGAGGAATATAAATACAGGTGCCGCCATGTTTCCTATTCATTTTGGCTTGTTTTCAGCCTTTACAAGAAGCACTCTAAGCCGTAATGAGGTGTTGTAGCGTCCCGAGGCGTTATCATTTGCCACATTATTATTTCAAACGCTTCGACAACAGCGGCAGGCTCTGATGTAATTCTTCATGCATATGGAAGGTGTGCTCGGGATGTGGGAGGGGGCTGTGTAACCTTTCACTAAATAAATGTGTGATCACAAAACTAATGAAGTAAACAAAGATAAGGTGGACATTTGATCACTTTCTTGGTTGTAAATAGCCTGCCACAAAGTGTGATTTCATATGAATTTGCCTTCTTTGCTTACTAATCCTTTATTGCTGGATTATAGATGTGTGTACACTCATTGTAACTTATTTAAGATGAAGAGATTAAGACTAGAAACCATATGAAAATGGAATCATAGTCAGATTTTTGTTCAGATCTGCTATTCTGAAATCTGAAATCGTCACATTATGATTCCGTGCTTCTATGTTAGGACACGAGCCATTAAGACATTGGGGAGATATGACAAAATCTAAATTGTGGTTGTAACAACTGCGACTATAAATTGTTTCCTGTTACGTCTGTCTGCAAATTAGAATGTGTGAAAGAAAGCACAATAGCCCAGTTTACTGCTACCATCGCCAGGATAACCCCAAGCAGTATTGAGGACCAATTTTGCCCAATATAATCAAATGGATATTGTTGTCTGTAATTAGCCTCTAGCGGTTTCATATTAAGCTATGAAAATGTGGGGGGAAAAAAATCACCTTTTTTCCATCGACTATAAATAAAGATTGTCACTGTAACCTAATCAAATTACGAGCTGTATTTTGGTTAAGGGCTGTCACTTGTCTCTGTTTCTCTCCCAACAGACAAAGTGAATCCCCTGAGGTCCTCTCGAGCCTCTTCAGGAGCTGCCGACTCGCTTCTCTTTATGGTGCACCCACAAGGATTAAGCACAAATGGCATTCACATGATTTCAATAAGCTCCAGGAGACAAGAGCCAGCCTTTCAACACATTAGCTCTTTCTCTGCCGAGGACACAAAGCAGACACGTACTGGAAGAGAAATAAAAGGCTTAAAAAACACAAGTTAATAATGATCATAATAATAGACCTGTCTGGCACACTGCTAAAATTGAATTCCAAAGGGTTGAGAATGGGTCTTTAAGTGCTGATGTCATGAATAACCTGCAGTAGCACCGTCGTAAAAGGTGACCCCCTGATGGAGAGGCAGAGACGAGGCTTTGCACCAACTAATGAAACAGGCGAGCTGGAGAAAGTCAATCTGTGTGTGGCAGGTTGACATTCAAGAAAAAGAATATATTCAAAGACATAAAGTTGCATGGTTTTTAGTATCTATAAAGACTTAATGAAACATACTCTGCCATCATAAAGCAGTTATGTTATTACATTGAAAAGATAACAAAATGAACAAACCACTTTTGTTATTTTTTTTATCCAACTTTATCTTTGTATACCCAATAGACCAATTTCTATCCGAGGTGTTTAGAGTTTAGAGGGATCACAATCTCAATTTTAGCCACTGAAAAAAAAAAAAACATAGTACTCATGCTGTACTCAAGAGATCCAAACATACCTTTGAGCAGGGATGGATTGTCTCAGCAAACAAAAAGTGCTCACTGACACTGATGTAGACAGATTTGTGAACAGTATCTGATCAATATGGATAAATTAAGCACATACTGTACGTATGGCATGGCATACCAGCGTCTTCAACTCTATCGACAAGTATCAATATAGTAAGTTTGATAGACTAACCATAATGGCTAAACTAATGTATAGTCATCAAAAGGAAAGCAAAAGAGTTATTAAAAAGGAAAACAATACTTTTCCATGTGGTGTGAATTTAGAGCGAGTTACGTTGTTTTGACAAATTATGCACAGAATTGTTACAGAATTTAAATGGCGCCACTAACAAAATCCTATTAAATGTCCTTTCTTTATGATAACTTTTCTAATACCAAGTCTTTGTAAAACATTGCATATTTTCCGCTGGTTACATTGTGACTTTAGTGCTACAGCTTTCATCCTAGCCCTGGTGCCCTCTCTGATTGTGGCGTTCTCCTTGTCGTCCCTTTATTTGGCGTGTCCCCGGTGAATGTGACTAATCGCTCCCCGTCTGAAGGCAGAATGGTTCGGGGTCGCCTCCTCTTGCCCCTCCCTCTCTCCCACACTCCACTGCTGCACTGTCAGTGATTTTTCATCGCCCTTGTTGGAGCCGTTTTATGCATTGTTTCCCTGATGCAGTGATTGATGTGCAGGCTTGGTAATCTTGGGGAATAAGAGGCAGCTCGGTGGCCAACGAGTCCCCTCAGTGTGTGACACGTGTCGGGGCCAGCGCCGCTTTACCGGAGCCCGCGGTGGATGTCCCCCTCCCCTCTTTGCACCGACCTGTTTGGACGTGGGCATTGCTGAGACTGCTCACTCCGTGCACTCAGCCAGCCCTCATTTCCATTTCAATCTCAACCTCATGAATGCAAAAACTCTGGCCGAAAATTAATAACACCACACAGGGGAAAAGTGTGCGCATGGGAGCAGGCTGGTGAGACAGAGAGCGATGGCGAGGAGGCTAAACGCAGAGAATGCGGAGCTGGGGTCCTTTTCAGACCTTTTGTTCGCTCCAAAAGTCTCCCTTATTTTATTCCCCTCTCTCTTTCACCAAGATCGTCCAATGAATGGCATTACAGACAATGCCATATCCAGAGTGACACAAATTTATTTCAGTTGCAGCACCACAGTGTATTTCCACAAAACCAGAGGCGATTTGTCTGGGGACAATTTGGTTTCCATAAAGGATTTAAATGGTTTCTGCGGAGACAGTGGGGCGAAATTTAATTTGTTTCTCATTTACTACAGCAGGTATGAAAAGGAGAAAAATTGGACGGCTGATGGGCTAAAAATTGGTGCTGTCCCTCTGCTGTATCCCCAACGGACCAAGGCCCTGCATCATATAGATTGAGTTCGACCCCCCTGGAGCCCTCCCAACCACAAGCCCGGCCAGCACACACGCACAGCCCAGGGAGAGAGAGCCGTAACCTTAAACCAACTTAAACAGTAACCTTTGGGGAGGCTGCCAATCACTCTTAAAACAACGTTTCCATCGATCGGCCTGTCTGTGTGATTTATGGCCTCATTTTACACTAATTGAGAATTAGAGGGCGGATTAGTGGGCCTCAACACTTCGGCCTGATATGCACTCTGAGCAGTGTAATCTGTCACGCTGGGATGTCCGACACTCTCTTACTCACAAAGGGGGAGTGGGGGAAGGAGCGAGGGAGGGAGGAGGGGGGTCTTTCTAATTGAATTTCCAGATAACACGGAAATTAATTTGACACCGGTGAAATTTGACTACCGCTCACCCTCCTCCCCCATTGTTACATCTCTACCTCTGCTCTGTTTCTGCCAAGCAAACAATATTGATCCAAATCACTTCAAGTTGAGCATGTGGAATTCCTAAATCATATTTGCTCTCATATTAGACCGGTTCATGTGCTGCTATCTTCGGCCACATAAAGAATATTACGTTTCAATTGGTTTGACTTTGTTTGGATGATCTCTTTGTTGCGGGAGGGAATCTTCTCTCTTCCCCGGCAGGTGAATGCAAGCCCAGAGTCAACAGTTGCAATTGAATTATGGCTGCGGCTCACCAGGTCCATTGTCTGGGTAATTTGTCGTATAAGTGGCAAAATGAAAGGACTCTCTACGGTTCTCTGAGCACCTCCTGTTGTGTCACTCATCACCGCACAGACACACACAAGAATGAGAAAAAGGGGAGTGGTGTTTCAAATGCTATCCAAAATCACCTGTTATTGTTTTGCCCTAATGAACTCACATGCCATTACACGGCTCATAGTGTCATCAACATAGTCAACAACTTCAAAGCTGACAGACTCACAGCAACGTCTAGTAATGCATCTGACATACCAAGACAGGGCACACACAGTTTTTACCTCTGGAAGGAAGAAGCGGATATGAAGAGCAGAAAGAATGTAGTGCTCCTGATTTACGAACTTAAGTCTGGACAAATAGTTTTGGATTGTTGTTGAGTAGGTACAGGTGCTTTAGTGTCGACTGAATGTTCTCCCCTTACTGAATGATGCAAAGTTAAGGAGTTAGCTCTTTGCTTTTGACCAACCCTCTGTTTGCTACGACAGGCTTCTGAAGAAAGAATACACATTTCTTAGCTTAGTTGAAAATGCCTTTACCAAACAGCTAAGCCTGAAAGTCAGTTACTCTTTCTAAGGTCCTAAAAATGAAATGTTGCTGCCAATATATTATATAATCAATTAAAGTATAGAGATTTGTGTAAAATATTCATTGCTCATGTGCACTTTCAAATCAACAGAACACATCGAGATCAGCTGAACAATGCAAAAAACTACAAACAGGCCACAGATAAAGAAAGCACTAATGGCACCCAAAATAAGGTGAAGATGGTGAGACAAAGGGTTTTGCAGTTGAGGAAAATTTCTGTATTGTTTCTACATTATTTTGAATATGAAATGTAACAAAGTTCAACTAAAGAAATTCCACAGTGGATGTGCAAAAAACAACACAATACCAAATGACCCAAACAAACTCAGATTCAGATTCATTTATTGCCATTTGCAGTAAAACCACATTGGAAAAACTGTGCAAGAGTACCCCAGTGTGCACCCTACCCCAGTGTGCCTGCAAACTGCAAATCATAACAGTTATAGGCCAATTTATTTTCATTAAGAGGTGCCAATAGCGGCTGGAGGTCTGGACGTTACAAAAAGCTGCAGTATAAAAAGACCCAACATTTTAACTCCAGTGCTCCATATAAAAAAAACCTTGCTTTGTTTTTCTCATAATGTGTAGGAGTAGGTTAGCACCGGGGCTCTTTAGCGGGCTAAAAGATGCATTTATCAGTGTAATGAACTTTGGACGCGGGCTAACTTAATTCCCGTAATGCCTGCGAGAGTCAATTAGCACAACTAGATTTAGAGCCGTATTTATCTGATAGAGCAGACTATGCAACTACACGCAGTTGCACAGTCTATTGGTTTAGCTTATCTCCCTGCTAATAGGACTACAGGGCCCATCATCAGCTTTACTCCATAAAAACATTACAAAAAGCCTGTGGGGAGTTGCAAAATTGAATATCTGCTGAATTGCAACATAAACAAGTGTGTCTGAGAGATGATATTTGCCTGTAATTTTTTTCATCAATATGTTGACCTGTATTTACCTCAGTCATAGAGGGCATGCAGAATGGGGGCGCATTCGTACAGGTGACAGCGAATCACTCGACCTGTAACAGATACCGCTGGGATGTGTCCCCTATGACAGCCCTACTAATACACTGGGAGTCTGTATAGAGAATAATAAATGACAGGATGTGATAACTCTGGGTTGTTAGCAGGCGCGGTCATGGTCTACATTGCCCTTCTTGTCTCTCGGGGGACGTGCGTATCTTCGTGCATGATGTATGTGTTCTCCAGCTGCGCCCTGACATAGACCTGCTTAACTTTTGCAGGCGATTCGAAAGGCGGCCATTGTCTGCTGCACAAAGGTCTCTATCCACGCTCATTCCTTATTCAGACCCACGGGACAGGGGGCTGTGTGTGGGGGAGCAGGGCTGGTGGGATAACTGAGAGCCCGATGGAGCCTAGGTGACAGGTTGGAATGGGCCATCAATAGATCCATCAGCCGGGTAATTTGGCGCACGCTTAACATACATCAGTGGAGTCGCAAGAGCTGGTATGTGTCGTGTCGTGGAATCACAGTAAATAAGAGTTAAAGATGGTGTCGGGGTGAGCCGGATGACCCCCCACTACCTCAGCCCCCCTCCTCACAGCATCACCACAGCACAGGCTAAACAGATGGGAAGAAAGAGATTTGGATTTTCATATGATCAGAATCATTCAAGCACAGGAAAATGACTGTATGGCACCTATGTGCTATAGCATACAACATTTTTAGTTTTTTTTAAAAGCAACTGTTCAGGCCGTGGTGAATGTGCTAAAACTAGGGGTGTCGAGTCAGTTCGCATCTTAGTCAATGAATTATTCTAAATTAAATTGCAAGCATTTATATGGGAGAACTGCTCATTTGCTCAATGACGAGAATTTTTGCTGAATATTTAGGGATTTCCTTTTTTACATGGTCTACTTTTCCATTTAAAGAGACAGTATTTGATCTGCACTCTAAGTGGTTCCTACAAATGACACATGTAGTTCTTAAGCACTGAGTACTGCTTATGTTTGTACCTGATTTCCTTCAAACATGTGTGTTTTGTTTTGTGGATTTGATTATATATATTAAAATGCCAAGACCAGCTACATTTCACCTACCAAACTGACAACCCAAAATGAGAGCCTCATTCTGATCTTGTTGTGAACGTAAATGTGGACATCATGTTGATTTATTTTTTTAATTCACATGAAATAGATCCACTTTAAACTATTGTTCCTGAAGCATGTTTTGAACACGTCGCCATATTATCTGAGGACAAATTTAAAAGATGTAGATATAATTTTAAATAGAAATGTTATATTCAATCCCCTTAATCAATCGTGTGCCTAAAATATTTTCAATAGAAGGATGCAACAATACTGTTTTTGGACAGCTGAAATGCTTTTTTTTCTCCTGGCAAATTAAATTGTACATAAATTGAGATACACATAATTGAATGATAAACATATTTTGAGCAACAGCTGAATCCAAAAAAGAGCAAAAACAAACTTCATGGTTCTAATGGTTACTGCCAAGAGACATAATTAACCAAAACGGAGCTGTGGTGATGTGACATTGTTAACTCAAAGAAGTTTCTCTGCTGCATGTTTCTCTAACAGAAAGAGTGAGTGAAAACAAATGCTTTGAAAGCTGAGCGTAGTACCAGAGGGCAGGCAGATGAGCCTCATCCCTGTGGAGAAACTGTATGTCTTTGTGCACAACTGTGTGCACTGTCTATGACTATGGCACCAGAAAACTATGAAAGTGAAGCACCTTAGGCTAACTGCTGTTCCTGCCACTCACGCTGCCAGCTAACCTTTCAAACGCACACATGCTCCAGTCGTAGGCTGTCTTCGCAAATTCAGGACTAATTCTGTGGGACAATTCAGGGAGAGTCAAACGCCAACAGAGGTTTATCAGAAACATTTGGTCATTGTAATCTGCAAGCACTTATGTGCTTTGATATGCAATATTGTAAACTAATGCAATCTTGCACTTTGCGGGCATGAATTTAGACCACATAAACCTAACCATAATCCCGAAGATGGTGGAAAGGAAGACAGTACCTACCAGTACCTTTATGCTGGTAATATCTAACGTACATAAAGATGAACAAAAAATGACCCTAAAAAAACTAAAATACAAAAGCAAAAGGTGACTTCTGTCAAAATAAACTCATATAGCTGTGATTAAATACAATTAGTAAGTGAGACTAAAAAAAAAAAAAAAAAAAAAAAAAAAATAATATTAAAATTAAACTACAGCTTCTATAATTACCCCGCCAACAGGGGGTATTTCAAC